TGGGGAAAGGCGGTAGGTGCTGGATACAGACCCCGGACAGTTGTGTTTTGTGGGTTGGTTGGTTTTGGGTTTTCTTCAAACTGTGCCTTTTGTTTTCTGTAGGCCTTTCCTGTGCTTCAACTCTCTGGGAACTGGCACTGCGGAAGGAGGCAAGGGTGTTAAAACGAGGAGGCAGTGTCAAGGACAAAATCCCAGGATTTAGAGCCCCAAACACTTGGCCCGCAGGAAGTGCTCAGTAAACCCTTTTAAGGTCCTGGAGGAAGATTCGCGCAAAAAAGAGGTGTAGCTTGGGGGGAGTGTTTTGTCATGAAAAGAACCAGCTTACATTAAGGAAGAAATGAAAGAGGAAATTTTAAAATGCTAATAATGCGGTCTTCTTGTCTCTAACTCTGATCCGGGTAAAATGTATACTCCTCTATCCATTTTTCTTTGTCTTCATCTCCTAAAATGTAGACATTTAATAGTGAGCTTCTCCCCTTGACCTCATCACTCTGCTGTCCCCTGGCGAGTTCACCCATTCATTCCCACTGCTTCAGCCAGCAAAGGTATTACAGTGATTCCAAAACGACATCTCTATCACAAATATCTCTCCTTAGCTCCAGGGCTGCATTTCTGACTACCTGCTAGGCATTTATTTCCTGTGGCACTTCAAACGTAATATGGCCAAAATGGAATTCATCTTTTTTTTCCAAATTCTGCACCAGTTCCTCCAGTGACCCCTGACTGAGTGGCAAAGCTTTGTAAACTGCATATCACAAGGTAAACACAAAGTATGATCACCATTCTTTTCCTTTAACCCAATCAGAGTTCTACGTTTTAGTTGCATCAATTTGCTTTTGCTCAAAGATGCCTCCAATCCTGATCACCCCTTTTAAATGTGCAAAATTCCTATTCCTGATCCCCTTATTCTGTTCTACCTTTTATATCACTTTCTAACACTATACTATATAATTTACCTGTTTATTATGTTCGTTGTGTTACTGTTTACTGCCTGTCTTTCTCCACTGGAATGTAAGCTCTGAGAGGACAGAGATTTCTCTGTACCTAAAACTTTGACTGTCATATGGTAAGCATTCAATAAATGCTTGTTGAATGACAAATGAATGAATTGTGGAAAAGAAGTGGGAGAGTATCCCTATTTGAAAGGATCTCTACAGAGAGTCCTTCCAATCTTTTGAATTGGGCTCAAAAATCCCTATAGACTTGCATGTACTCTCACATTTTGACAACCTTTTGATGGTAAACATTTTCTGATATGCTTGAGCTTCCTCAAAGCCAGAGAAAACAAATAAGACATCTCATTAGCTGGGCATAGTAGCACATGCTTGTAGTCCTAGCTACTTGGGAAGCTAAGGAAGGAGGATTGTTTGATCCCAGGAGTTCAAGGCTGCAGTGAGCCGTGATTATGCCACTGCACTACAGCCTGAGTGACAGAGCGAGACGCTTTCTCTAACCAAAAAAAAAAAAAAAAAAAAAGAAGAAGAAGACATCTAAGATGAATCATATTTACTCAACTTTACTTATATAATTTTTGTGCAGGATCTCATTTTCCAAACCTTTAGTCATGGTCATTATTCTTTTCTGGGCCCTCTCCAATTTCTTCACCTCTAAGACAAAATTTTACACAATACTTGATCGATGTCAAGTGCAGTATAATGCATTCCTTACAAATGTAGTTCTATTTATAAACTTCACAATCAGGAAGAACCAGGAGATAATCTCTCTGTAGTTGACAGGAAAGTGCTTCCTTCTCTGCCCGTGGGAGGTAGTAAGATAGAAAAGATAGTTGACCAAAAAACTCTTACAGCTTTGTTTTAGCTAAGATAATAGTCAAATTGAAATTAGCCTTTTCAGATCCCCTATAAAATTACCCCTTCTTCAAGACCAGCCTGGCCAACATGGTGAAACCCCATCTCTATTAAAAATACAAAAAAGTTAGGCAGGCGTGGTGGTGGGTGCCTGTAATTCCAACTACTCAGGAGGCTGAGGCAGGAGAATCACTTGAACCCACGAGGCGGAGGTTGCAGTGAGCCAAGATCGCACCATTGCACTTCAGCCTGGGCAACAAGAGAGAAACTCCACCTCAAAAAAAAAAAAAAAAAGAAAAAGAAAAAACCATTTTAATATCAATTTATCTGAAGCAGAAAATGATTAAGAGTTTTCTTGTAAGACCTGAGCTATGGTTCTTTTCCTTTAAAAAGATGAGGTTATAGGAAAAAGGAAATTCAATAATGAATCTGGTATTTGTATAAACCACCGATGCCTTATCCTAGTCTTCGGGGAGGTCACCCATGTCCAGATATTGAGTTTTGTTTTCTCTATTGCCCTGTTAAGATGCATTTCTCATGCTCTTCTTTTTTACCTGTTTACCCATATATTGAGTGCAAGAGAAACTAGCCTTGTTTCACGTTTTCTAGTAATACATGGTTAAATTATGTTCAGGGAGTGAGATTTTAATTGTCTTTTCTGTAGATTCCAACCTGAAGGGAAGCCAAGGTATTCATAGTCACAGTTACCAAGGACTCTATCACTGAAACAAGTACCTTGGGTTCACTCATACATGGTTCTTTAAGTTGCAGTTAATCCCAAAGGTGCAAGGTACAGCTAGTGGTAGCACTATTTTCATGAGCTTTTAGAACAAAAGTCAAACCTCATGAGAAAGTGCATTTAAATTCCTAAGTGACCCCAGAAGTGCTGTTTGTTTTTCCAAAGAAAGAACCATTTTCCATATGTACCTTGGATAAATGATGTGGATGTTATTAAAGATGGGGATAATGGTCTCTAAAGCGTTTCCTACTGAGATGTTATTTGTGAAGACTCATCATGTTTCCCAGGGTAGTTCACTGAATAGAGAAAGCACTGCTATCTCAGACTTGTCTTCAGGCTAATTGACTTTATTACATGCCACCCAGCTCCACGAGTATCTTCACACACTACTTATCCACGTCTCCATTTTCCATGCAGATTCTCCCTCTCTCTGGCACACTCTGTCCTTTCCCACCTGGTTCAAAATTCCACTTTCCTTAGGAATATGCTCCTGGCTATTATAGATATTTATGATGTATATATCTATTGTAGGCACTAAACGTTTCTTCGAGCTATTTATATTTTGTACAACCTCTCTGGGTAACACATTCTAGAAGTTTACTACCTGCTGAGTAAACTAGTACTTTCAATATTGAAATCGCATCCTGTTTACTTTTTTCATCTTTACCAAAGTGGTATGAGCTCACTGTAAGAAATTCAAGCAATAAAAAAAGTATTTGTCTTGAAGCATTAAGTGGTACCTTGGTATTTTAAGTTTTGAATCTTAGTAAACAGTACTGTGGTTACATGATTCATATCTTTAAGTTTTGTTTATTTACTGGATGATTTATACTACAGTGGTTAAAAGCATATGCTCTGGAATCCTATTGGGTTTGAATCCTTGCTTTTCCTTTTCTACCTCTGAGAGATCGGAGAAGTTACTTAACTTCACCATGCCCCAGTTTTCTCATCTGTGAAGTGAGGATAATAATAGTGTTTACCTGCCTAGGTTGTTATCAGGATTGAGTGAGATGATACATATAAAGTGATTAGAATAGTCTTACACATAGTAAACACTAAATAAATGTTAGCCATTGTTGTTGTTGCTATTGACTCTTCTAGCTATTTTTCCAAGCTAAAGAGGTTCCTTACCTTTTTAGTCTTTCCTAAAACGTCAGTTGCTTCTCCCCTTTGACTATTTTAATTGCTCTTCTCTGGACCATTTCCAGATCTACTAATATTTCTCTTAGGGTTTCATTACCACATCTGCACAAAGTATCCTAGGTTACTTGTATGAGGTTAATATGATTATTCATTTCAAATAGCCTTCCTAGCTGGGCGCGGTGGCTCACGCTTGTAATCCCAGCACTTTGGGAGGCTGAGGCGGGCAGATCACTTGAGGTCAGGAGTTCAAGACCAGCCTAGCCAACATGGTGAAACCCCATCTCTACTAAAAATACAAAAATTAGCCAGGTGTGGTGGTGCATGCCTGTAATCCCAGCTACTTGGGAGGCTGAGGCAGGAGAATCACTTGAACCCGGGAGGTGGAGGTTGCAGTGAGCCAAGATCACACCACCGCACTCCAGCCTGGGCAACAGAGCAAGATTCCATCTCAAAAAAAAAAAAAAAAAAAAAAAAAAAGAAAAAATCAAATAACCTTGCTAATGTCACTGCAAATCTTATTTGCTCTTTGAGCACATTGGGTTGGTCTGTTGAGAAAATAAACTGAAAATAAACTGATCCAGTAGTCCTGTAGACTGTTCTTTTTGATAAACGTAGAAATTGACCCTTCTGGTCTTAAAACTTGAAACTTACATTTGTTTGATCTGAGTTCCTTTCTCAGGAAAGGACCTTCAGGCCTCTCAAAAAAAAAGCATCAAGTAACTGAAATTCACCAGACCACCACAGCAGATACCACCACACCAGATGCCAGACCCCTCATTCATCATGATTGCTTCCTTTCTCCTCCCCACTTTTTGTCTTCTTATACATTATTGCATTTCTTCCCTGCTTTGTAAACCCCTAGTTTTAGTCGGTCAGG